GGATATAATAATCAAGCGTGTGGAGATGGGAGATGAAGGATTAAGTTCAAGGAACTCAATTATTATGCACACACATAATAATGATAGGAGATATTTATGTAGCGTTTTATTGTCTACAAAGTATCATGTTAACGCATTTGATCCCAACAACAAGCCAGACAGCTGGGCAATATAATTGTTCTCATCTCCATTTTCCAGATCAGGAAACTGAGGGTGAGACATATTAAGTGATCTGCCCATGGCCATGTAGCTAATATCAGAGACGAGTTTCACATCCATGTCTCTCCAGACTCCACATCTAGCCCTGCAGTACGTTGTAGTAAATATAACATACTGGATTTGAAGTCAGAAAAGACTGGTTTTGAATCCCACTTCTGACACCTTCTAGGTTTTTTGGTCAGTCAGTCAAATATTTATTATGCACCTGCTATATTCTAGGCACTGTGTCAGTTCTGAGTATACAAAGAAAGGTAAAAGACAAGTCTTTTCTGTCAAGGAGCTCTCAATCTAATAGGAGAATTTTTAGCAGGTTGCTTAACATCTCTTTACGTCAGTTTCAATATCTGTAAAATGGGAATTAATAAAATCTTGGAATCTTACCTCATCTAGTTGTTGTGAGGTTCAAATGAGATAATACCTAAATTATAATATAATTTGCAAACTTTAAAATGCTACATAGGCATGTTGTTATTATTGTTGTTTTTTTTTTCTTTTATACTATACTGGGTATTTATTTATGGTTAGATCCAGTAGAAATGAGTGAGGAATATATAGAAATGTATTTGGGATACAAACAATTGAGCCTAGAGTTTCCAGAGTATATTCCATTCTAATTAGTGAATAAACGTGTTTCTAACTGAGGCCAGAACTTAATTCCTTTCAATCCAGTGGTCACTGAAGGAGGAGTTTAATTGATCATTCAGATTCTTCAACTATAGGTTTGTAATTTACGTGTCATCTTTTTTCCCTTCCACGAGTTAACTACCTGGTCATCATTGATGAAATTCAGTAAACATACTCCTATTGTTTTCTACTTTGCACAAGTCCCCCCCTTCTTTTGCTTCATTATATGGAAATCCTCAATTCATCTTTTCATTCCTGGTCTCTTCCTAATTCTTTCTGTATTTGATAGTGACTAGCAACAGACAGTGGGTTTCAGGAATTAAATATGCATGAATTTCACCAGTTTGCACCAGTTTTCAGAAAACTCCTCTTGCAAATTTCAATAAATCCCAAGACATTCTCGGAGATGATTGTAGCATCCTAGAACTGAAAGGTCCTTGAACAATTTTACAACATGTGATTTTTCAGTGCCGTGAACTTAATTTATTAACACTTTCTGAAGAAAATTGGAAAAGTTTCCATACCCACATTCAGGCTGGAGAGAGGTACTGGAGACATGGGCAGCCAGTTAGGAGGTGACCGCCATAGTTCAGGGGAGAATCAGTGAGGGCTGAACCAGGATGGTGACAGAGGAATGGAAAAGAGAGACGAGTGAAGATGGATATTGTGGGAGTAGAATTGCCTGAATTTGGCAGCTCACCGAATAGGAGCAGATCCAGAGAAAGGGAGGAACCAAGTATGCCCCCCTCCTGCTTTTGATTCTAGATAAATGCTGATATCTTTGAATGAAATAATAATAAAAATTATAACAACAATAGCATTCATATTGTGCTTAAAGGTTTTGTGAAGTACTTAATATTTATTTTCTCATTTGGTTCTCCCAATGACTCTGTGAAGTAGGGGCTATTATTATCATCCCTATTTTATAGATTAGAAAACTGAGTCTCACAAAGGTTAAGTGACTTGTCATGGGTCACACAGCGAGAAGGAGTCTGAGGCAGGATTAGATAGCAAGAAGGGTAACTAGTTTTGTAGAAAGAGAATTCAGTTTTAGATCTGTAAAGTTTGAAATGTCAGTAAAACTTAAGTGGGGGAAGAAGCTGGGGCTGGCGATGCAGATTTAGGGTGTGAGGAAAGTGGACCAGAAAGTGACTAGAAGAATGTGGTAGGGAATCAATAACAGGCAAATAAAAGGATTGGGAAAAAAAAGGAACGAGGGTCCAGCTGAAGTTAGATATAATTAATTTTTAAGGGGCCCATTTAGCAGAATTTCCTTTCCTCCCCACCCAATACCCTAAGTTTTAATAGCTCAGAAGCAAAGAAAGCAGGATTGAATCAGGACTGGGCATTGACAAAGAGGATACAGGCATCCCTTAAAGATATTGCAGGTCTGCAGACTATTGCAATAAAGTATCACAATAAAATGAGTCACACAAATGTTTCAGCTTCCCAGTGCATATAAAAGTTGTGTTTAGACTGTACTGTACTTTATTAAGTGTGCAATAGTATTATGTCTAAAAAAAAAGTACATACCTTAATTAAAAAATGCTTTATTGCTAAAAAATGCTAACCATCATCTGAGCTTTCAGCGAGTTGTAATCTTTTTGCCTGTGGAGGGTCTTGCCTGGATATTGATGGTCAGTGATCACGGTGGTTGTTGCTGAAGGTTGGGGTGGCTGGGGCAGTTTCTTAAAATAAGACAATAATTACCGTATCTATTGACTCTGCCTTTCACTTGAACACTTAAAGGTCATTGTAGGGTTATTAATTAGCCTAATTTCAATTTTGTTGCATCTCAGGGAATAGGGAGGTCCAAGGAAGGGGAGAAAGATGGGGAACAGCCAGTTGGTGGAGCAGTTAGAACACACACACATTTACCAGATAAGTTCATTGTCTTATGTGGGTACAGTTCATGGTGCCCCAAAACAATTAGAATAGTAACATTGAAGATCACTGATCATAGATCAACATAACAGATATAATAATAATGAAAAACTTTGAAATATTGCGAGAATTACCAAAATGTGACAGACATGATGTGAGCACATGCTGTTAGAAAAATGGCGCTGACAGACTTGCTTGATGTAGGTGGCCACAAACCTTCAATTTGTAAAAAAAATTAAAAAATAAAGCAATATCTGCAAAGCATAATAAAAAGAATTATGCCTATATAACAAATGATTAAGGGAAAAGATGTCCTAGGGTATTCTTTTTTTTTTCATTTTTAGGCAATTGGGGTTAAGTGACTTGCCCAGGGTCACACAGCTAGTAAGTGTTCAAGTGTTTGGTCTGAGGCCAGATTTGAACTCAGGTCCTCCTGACTTCAGGGCTGGTGTTCTATCCACTGTGCCACCCCTAGGGTATTCTATTCTACTTCATTCAAGTATATAGTTAAAATTGTTAACCATGGGATCATGGCAGTTATATGAAGTAGTGGATAGTGCTGGACATGGAGTTTAAAAAAGATCTGAGTTCCAATCCAGTCTCAGATACTTATATAACTATGGGTAAGTCACATAACTTCTTTCTTCCTCAATTTTCTTGTCTGTAAATGGGGTGATAATAATAGCATCTACTTCACAGGATGGTTGTGAGAATCAAATGAGATTACATGTGAAGCACTTTTCAAACTTTAAATTGCTGCATAAGTGCTAACAACTATTCTTTATACTATTATTGTTATTATTAACATTATTGTTGTTGTTCTTAGATCCAGATTGGATAAAAAGGCCAGTAAAAGCCAGAGGATGGCATTGAGAAGCTAGAGGTCAAAATGGTAGAGACCAGTTTCAGTAGGAAAGAGAGGAGAGATTTGAAATATAAAGTAGATTGTGGTCAGAAATGGACATTTCAGAGTTTGAGATTTTGAAAATGGAACAGGTCTGAAGTCCTGCTGAAGTATAGATGGATAAACTGAGTTGGAGTGAGGGTGAAGGTCAATAGAGATGAGTGCATTCAGCAGCTATAAAGAGGGTCATGGCTATGAAGGTAAAATTCACTGAAAACAATAGAAGGGACACATACCTGACACAGCACCTGTGAGCCAGGTACTGAAGTCATTAAGAAGGGAGAGTATTCTAGATGTCTGTAGGTAACAGGAAGGGAAGAGGACAGTATAAGCAGAGGTCAAACAAAGAAGTTTGATGTTGACTAACAGTGGTCTAAAAATTGTAGTGACGACCCAAGACATGCTAAATAGCTTTACCCATAAATTAAAAGAAATGGAAGAACAGAAGAATAGCTTTACCCATAAGAAGAAATGGAAGAAGAGAAGAAGAAACCACTTTCACCAGAGACAGGACAGCTAACAGGAGGAGCTAGAACAATTGTTTAAGGAAGAGGTAGAGTCTGTTCACCACCGACAGCAGAATTGGAGTTGGGGAAGATAACAGAAAAGCTATCAGGGATGGCGTGAGCCTGGGCAAGGGTAAGGCTGAACTAGCTGAGAGTGAAACCACAAGAGGAGATAGCAAAAGAACGGGTCTTTTACTGAGAGCGACAAATGTTGATTCCAGGAAGGTGAAGAAATAGGTCGGAGAGACATTTGAAATAATGAAAGGAAGAGAATACTTAATGGGTATAATTTCGATATTAGAAGAGTTTAGACAGCTGTAATGGCGTGAGGCTATGGACCAAGGTAAATTTGTATTCCCAGACATTGGGTTTTGGGTCAGTGGGTTGTTATTTTTTTCCCTCCCTACGGGTGAAAATAAAATTATTAGTTTATGGAAACTCAGTAAAGCATGGACATAGAATTTTACAGATAAAAAAAACTTTAGAAATAATCTAATTCAGCTCTCATTTTACAGATGAGATGAAGAGGTTTGGTCAAGGTTTAACAATTAAGTTAGTGGCAAACCTAAGACTAGAATGCCTCCCAGCTGTTACTGTTCTTTTTACTTTGTGGTTGTACCTCTACAAAGAGAAAACCAGGAGGCCCACCAGGAAGAAGATGAAATGATTAAGCAATAGAGATTTGTCTGTCTTGCAATTAATAAAGTATAAAGGAACCTTTCTGAAATTTTTGCTAGTGAACCCAGAATTTAAACTGTTATCAATAAGCATTGAGGGAGGGGAATGTGTCCTGGAACACACCTGTATTTCTTTGATCTGTCTGTATTTAAGGGTTCCTTCCTCTTGTGTGCTTTCCTTTCTAGTGTCTTTGGCCTCCAGTACTGTTGGCTTGGCTGGGCAGGTTGTCCACACTGAAACGACAGAGGTAGTGTTGACCGCCGATCCTGTCGTGGGGTTCGGGATACAGCTCCAAGGCAGTGTATTTGCCACGGAGACTTTGTCTTCGCCGCCGCTGATCTCCTATATTGAAGCTGACAGCCCGGCAGAAAGGTGAGATACTTAGAGATGAGGGCACCTGTCTGCTCTGCTTTCCTGAGGAAGTTTGGTGCTGGTGCCATTGGACGGCTATTAACTTATAGAACACTGCCGCATGCAGGAAATGCAGACCGTAATGAACTCTCTGTTCTGACAATAAAATTTGATGTTCTTGAGCGAGTCTGAGAAGAATAACAAGCATCGGTGCCTTTATCTCAGTTTTTCCCATCAGGGGATTGGAGGCTATATTAATTAAAGGGAGAAATCCATAAGAAAATCTCTGAAGTTTAAACTTTAATAATCTTTATGCCATAGGGAAAAGCACATTCATCACTGCTGTGTATTAGTTCAGATCCAATCACAGCAGATACTACCAAGCTGAATTATTCATTACTTCTTTGGGACACTTCAGTACTCTCGTCTCCTTTCTTACATTTTTTTTTCTGGCCACCGCCTGGATTTGTGCAAGGCTTTAGCGCCTGCTACAAACCTAATATTGTATGATACAGATTACAGTAGGCAAAAAGAACTGAATTACAACCATGGTTCATTAGAGGTCTAATTCAGTTGGTTTGGGGCTCTTAACTTGGTCACTGTGCTCCCCTTTGTCTTCTGTATCAGACCTTTAACATACAGCTGTGAATTTAGGTGCGGAGTACTGCAAATTGGTGACAGGGTGATGGCGATCAATGGAATTCCCACCGAAGACAGCACATTTGAGGAAGCCAGTCAACTTCTCCGAGATTCCTCCATCACCAGCAAGGTCACTTTAGAAATAGAGTTTGATGTTGCAGGTATGATTGATTGCGTAATGTTTTCCAATAGAGAGTCTCTGTCAGGACCACACTCAATGTGAATTCTATTTGTTATTTAGCATGGGGAGAACTACTTAGATGGGGAATATTTTTTATTTGTTTGAGTTTGGGGTGTTGTTCTGAATCAGGCATTTCTTTAGTCGTGTATTAAGAAGTCATCATAAGAGCATCTAGAAATAAATAATGACAAAATGAAGAATGTAGATATATATGTGAAGTAAGAACATTAGGTAACATTTATTTTTCCTGATTCTTCCTTAAAAAGACAGTTATAAATATCTTCCAGTCATGGAGGAGGAAAAGGCCCCATCACTCTCTAATCATTTGCCTCAGAAGCACATGTGATAGCACCATAGGAGGGGTTTGAGGGATTCATAATGCTTCCCTGAGTGGGCTGACATATAAGCCCCATTTCTTCTGCCTCTAGAGTGAAGAATGAGAGTCAGAGGGCACCAATTATTATCCAAATGCCTCACAGATTATCCTGTGCCTTACTATGGCTAACACGTGTTCCACATTCATTGTGTGGGCAGATTTATTCAGATCATGGTGATAATGTAATCAAGGTTGTATCAAAACATCATCCTGTTATCAATCACCAGTAGTCTTCACACAGAGAAATGTTACCAGGGGAAAAGAACAAAGGAAGGGAAGGGAATGAGCATTTATTATGCACCTACTATATGCCATGCCCTGTGCTAAGCACTCTACTAGTATCTCATTTGATCCTCACAACAACCCTGAGAGGTAGGTCCTGTTGTTACCCCCATTTAACAGCTGAGGAAACTGAGGAAGACAAAGCTTAAGTGACTTGCCTGGGGTCACACAGCTAAGCAAGTATCTGAGGCCAGATTTGAACTCATGTCTTCCTTATTTCAGAAGCAGTGCTATTATCTACTGAGCCATCTACCGTAAGTTGAATCTCATAATCCTAGCCAGCAGTTTTTGTCATCACCTTGAAGGCAAGGACTTTGTCATATCTAAACTTCAGACTAGGCAAGACAATTTTTCTGAGTCTTAATTTCCTCTTCTGCAAAATGGGGCTATAGAGGCAGCCTTAGAGTGAGGAAGACCTGACATGCACTGTCTGTGAATCTGGGCAGGTCACTGAGCCTCTTAGTTACCTGAGACAACTCTTTTAGAATAAAAATTGATGAGCAGACGCCGATTTATGTTGATGAAGGGAGTTTCCACACTAGGCATTTTCTATAATTCAGTTATAGGCCTGTTTATATGGACTATCTGTTCCCTACCTGTGGTAGAGCCTTCCAAACTCACATTGGTCTGGTCAGCAACAGCCGGACACACCATACCTTGACTCCAACATCATGATGTCATTTTGGGCCTCTTTGAGAACGAAGGATAATGACCAACCAACCTGCCTACCTTAGAGAATTATTATAAGGAAGCATTTGGCAAACTGTAGAGCACTACAGAGATGTGAGCTATTATAACCAAAGAGCCCGGATCTCACACTTCACAAGTTCTGAAGGATGCAGTTCATTAAAGACGAATGACCTCGTTAGGTCTCTTAATATTTTAGCTCATTCATATACAAGCATTTCAGAATAGCTAGCTGCCTACAGAAACCCTCCTTCTCTTCTGAGTCCCTGTCCTGAAATTTTGATTTCCTCTCCATCCTTTCCCTTCTTTCCTACCTATTCCATGCAACCGCCACCCGATCCTCTACCTAGTCTTAGGTCCCTGTGTCTCACCTGCTCCAGGGCCAGACAGTGATAGGACTGGTAGGAACTAAGAAAAGTACATTCACCAGTCTGAGGCCTGGTTTCCCTGGCAGCATACTAATTCCCTCATGCCCATCCAGAAGCCTACTCTCATTCTCTAAACTACCCTTTCTCACCTACGTGCTCTGGCACAATGCCCAATAAAGCCTAAGGGTGCATTTTTTATGATTCTAAACTTTAATAAGCAATACTAAAACATTCAAATAATAAAACACAATTTTTAAATGATTATATGGAAAACCCATAATCTCCAATTTATTTACATTTTGTTTAAAATGTGTACTTTTACACTCGATGTTGACAGATTAGTCATCAAGCAAGCACTTATTATACATCTACTGTATACCAGGCACTATACCGGGCATTGAGAATACTAGTACAAAGAATAAGATGATCCCTGTATTACATTCCAATGGAGGATATCAGAAGTATATATGTAAATGATATGTAACAGAAATATAGAGTAGTAGTTCTTAACTTTTTTTTTTGTCATGGACTTCTTTGGCAGCCTAGTGATGCCTATAGACCCCTTCTCAGAACAATATTTTAAAATAAATAAAATAAAATGCATAAGATTATGATAGAAGCTAATTATGTTAAAAAAACAGTTACCAAAAATATTTTTTAAGTGAGTTCAAAAATCCCTGATATAAAGTGAATAAATGTAAACATATACAAACTAGTCAAATACAACCATAACATCTTCTTTGTTCCCATGTCAGTGTCTTATATGTTTTCTTCTTTTAAAATGGTGTTCCTGAAAAAAAAAAAAAAGATGTTGTTCCTATAATTCTTAATAACAATAAGAGTAATATTTACAGGGTTATGGTCAGTGTGTTTATTGGAATTTCGATTTGGCTTATTTTACCCTGCATTAGTAGGTGGTGCCATGGATAGAGCACTTGACTCCATGTCAGGAAGACCTGAACTCAGATCCCACGGCCTCAGGCACTTACTAGCTTTGTGACCCTGGAAAAGTTAATTAATCTGTCTCTGCCTCAGTTTCCCCATCTGTAGAATGGAGATAATAATAGCATCTACCTCAAAGGGTTGTTGTGAGGATCAAATGAGATAATATTTGTAAAGTGCTTTGCAAATCTTGAAACACTATTTAAATACTCAATAAAATGCAAGTCTTCCATATTCCTTTGTATTTTTCCTATCTGTCAGTTCTGATTTATAATAAGATTCTATAACATTTATATAACATACTCCAGACATTCCTGGATCATTGGCTATATGAATTATTCCTAATTTTTTCCTGCTACTAATAGCTAGCATTTATATAGTGCTCACTGTGTGTCAGAGGGCAGCTAAGTGGTGCAACGGATAGAACACTGGGCTTGGAATCAGGAAGACTTTTCTCTATTAGTTCAAATCCAACCTCAGATACTTACTAGCTGTGTGACCCTGGGCAAGTCCCTTTACCCTATTTGCCTCAGTTTCCTCATCTGGAAAATGAGCTGGGGAAGGAAATGGCAAATCACTCTATTATCTTTGCCAGGAAGACCCCAAATGGGGGTCACAGAGAGTCAGACACAACTGAAAAACAACTGATCATTGTGCCAGGGACCATGCTAAGTGCTTTACAAATTGTCTCATTTAATCCTCCCAACAATCCTGACAGGTAGGTGCTATCATTATCTCCATTTTACAGATAGGGCAACCGAGGCAAACAGAGGTTAAGTGACTTGCCCAGTGTCACACAGTAAGTGTCTGAGGTAGGAGACCTAATTCCAAGTCATGCACTCTGTGGACTGAACCACCTAGCTGTATGAATTTTACATGTGTATATATGTGTGTGTGTGTGTGTGTGTGTGTATACACATATATAATTATTTTTATATATCGTTATATCATTATTTTTATATAGCCAGTTTTTTTTTTCTTCTCATAACTTCCTTTTAGAGTATAGCCCTGGGTAGTGGGATCACTAGGTCAAAGGGCACTTCTGTTTCTTCCTTAAGAAGAGCCAATGTGGTATAATAGAATGTTAGATTTTAAGTAAGCAAATCTGGGTTCAAATCCCACTTCCGACATATTCTCATATAAAATGAGGAGCCCAAAGAGAGGACCAGTTTGTTCATGATTCATTTTAAGATAATTCATCTACCTCTGGGAATTCTTAACAGCCTAGACTAGAGGACTAAAAGGCCTTTGTGGTATACCATACCGAGAAGGGTACATTGACCAGTCTCTATCTGTCCTCTCTCTTTCTTCTCTCCCCCCCCACCTCCATTTGTCAAAACCAGATCTCTACTGGATATTATGAAAGGGTTCCCATTCCTGTTCTCTATCTAAGCTCCCATTCCCCACCCACCTCCTGTGGCAACATTCTCAATAGAACTTAAGAGTTTAGGGGCAGCTGGGTGGCACAGTGGATAGAGCTCTGGCCTTGGAGTCAGGAGGACCTGAGTTCAAATCCGGACTCAGACACATGACACTTACTAGCTGTGTGACCCTGGGCAAGTCACTTAACCCTGATTGCCTCGCTAAAAAGTGAAAAAAAAACCCAACAAACAAAAAAAAACAAAAAAAAAATGTATTTTTTCACATTAACTTATCAAATCAATCCTTAAACAGACGTTTATTAAGGACCTATCCTGTCTGTCTCACATGACCTGTCCCAATGCTCAAATGAGATAATATATATAAAATACTTGAACAACCTTAAAGTGCTATATAAAGTCATTTATCATCATATTAATTTCCAAAAATTTATTGCATCAATACACGGCCCTGCTAGCAGTACAGTGTTGAATCTGTTCCTGCTTAGCAGCAGCAAAATTAGATTTTGCCATTTTTAATTATGTTTGCCAAGTGAGTGGATATTAGTGCTTCAGTGTTATCATCTGTATTTGTCTTAGACAGTTTCAACAGTTTTTCAGTTAGTTATTGACAGTTGATGTTTCTTCCCTTGAAAATTGCCTGTTTCTATCCTTTGAACATTTATTTCTTTATCAGCTGTATTTCTACCCATCTGTTCCTGTGAATGGCTTTCACTTCAATCTTTGATGTACAGGGACCCATTGTTGAACAAATGTGTCGATTTTGGCTTTTCTTACTCAATCAAAGGGGATGGAGGAGAGAATTAGGAAGGAGTGCTGTCACTCCATAGTTAACAGTTTCCCTCTTCTTGGTCAGAATTTTTTAAAGTGATAGAAAATTTCCAAAAAGCTGTATTTATTACTAAATAGAGGGAAAAAGGGAAGAAATCCTGGTCAGAGGAATAGA